TAAGTCCCATTCCCTCCTAAGGTGTGTCATAACATCTTTGAACATGTATATTTTCTAATCAACCAGTTCAGAGATGTTATGCCACACCTTAAGAGCGGATCAGACTTAAACTGAGGTCTCCTGGTTTAGAAATCAGGATTTTTTTAATCAACCTGTACAGAAGCAGATGAAATTTGAACCCAGGCCTCAACAATTTTGAACAGATTGACTAGGAAGTATCTATAACCAGTCAATTAATTCATCAATTAACACCCTATTATCAGTTTCCCTTTTAACCTTATTTATTTGACATTAACTCTGACAGACTTCCTTACTCAGCTGTGCCATTGCACAAAAGTGCCTGTTCTCCATCCAAGACTGACTGACACAGAAAGGGGGACTCCAAGCAGGAATAATAAATAATCTTTTCTTGTCCAAGTGAAGATTTAGTGACTGACATTTTCAAAGACCTGTTTCACAGGTCATCTCTGGACCTTTGTGGCTTCCAGTACGCTTGTGAGATCTGGATGAGAGAGAGAAAGGAGAGAACCCAGTGATTTTTAAATTGTTTAAATTATTCACATTCATGCTGACCCATTGTGAAACGTGAAAGGTAAGTGCTTTCAAACAACAGCTTTGAAGACATCAAGAACTCAGCAGAGATATGGTGCATTCTTTTCACAGTCATAAGACCATAAGACATAGGAACAGAAATTAGGCCATTCAGCATCAAGTCTGCTTTGCCATTCAATCATGGCTGATAAGTTTCTCATCCCCACTCTCCTACTTTCTCCCCGTAACCCTTGATCCCCTTGACAATCAAGAACCTATCTTTCTCCGTCTTAAATATACTCAATGACCTGGCCTCCACAGCCTTCTGTGGCAGTGAATTCCATAGATCCACCACTTTCTGGCTGAAGAAGTTTCTCCTTATCTCTGTTCTAAAAGGTCTTCCCTTTACTCTAAGGCTGTGCCCTCGGGTCCTAGTCTCTCCTACCAATGGAAGCATCTTCCCAACGTCCATTTTGTCCAGGCCATTCAGTACTCTGTAAGTTTCAATTAGATCCTCCCCTCATCCTTCTAAACTCCATCGAGTATAGACCCAGAGCTCTCAAACGTTCCTCATATGTTAAGCTTTTCATTCTTGGGACCATTCTCGTGAACCTCCTCTGAACCTGCTCCAGGACCAGTACGTCCTTCCTGAGATATGGAGCCCAAAACTGTGCACAGTACTCCAAATGTGGCCTGACCAGAGCCTTTTAGAGCCTCAGAAGTACATCCCTGGTTTTATATTCAAGTCCTCTCAAAATAAATGCCAAAGTTGCATTTGCCTTCCTAACTACTGACTCAACCCAAGTCTCTTTGCACTTCAGACTTCTGAATTTTCTCCCCATTTAGAAAATAGTCCATGCTTCTATTCTTCTTACCAAAATGCATAACCTCACACTTTGCCACATTATACTCCATCTGCCACTTCTTTGCCCACTCTCCTAACCTGTCAATCCTTCAGCAACCTCCCTGCATCCTCAATGTTACCTGTCCCTCTATCTATCATTGTATCATCTGCAAACGTAGCCAGAATACCCTCAGTTCCTTCATCTAGATCATTAATGTATAAAGTGCAAAGTTGTGGTCCCAACACTGGCCCTTGCGGAATACCACTTGTCACCAGCTGCCATCCTGAGAAATACCCTTTTATCCTCACTCTCTGATTTCTGCCAGACAGTCAATCTTCCATCCATGCTAGTACCTTGCCTCTAACACCATGGGCCCTTTATTTTATTTAGCAGCCTCCTGTGCGGCACCTTGTCAAAGGCCTTCTTGAAGTCAAGGTAGATAACCAGGCACTCCTTGGTCTAACCTGCTCATTACTTCCTCAAAGAATTCTAACAGATTTGTCAGGTATGACCTCCCCTTGATGAAACCATGCTGACTTTGGCCTGTTTTACCATGCACTTCCAAGTATTCAGAAATCTTGCCCTTCACAATGGACTCTAAAATCTTATCCATGACCAGG